TTAGACGCCGCAGATAGAAGCGGCAGGACACCTCTCCCCATGTGCAACGTCGGGCCACACGAGCACAAGACGCCGGCGCCTCTAGGACGCACTGGAATGTAAGCCGACCAACTCCCTGCGTTCAGGGGCGGGAGGGGGTGTGGGGTTGTAATGAAGTCAATGGCACCGCAGGCATGCCCCCCGCCCACAGTGCGATCGCCCGCACCCGGAACGCAGGCACCTTAGTGCCTGCATTCCGGTCCAGTGTGATCTGCAAAAATAGTGCTTGCAGCATTTTTGCGGATCGCACTCGACTTGAACGCAGGCACTAATGTGCCTGGGTTACGGATGCAGGTGATCGCACTGTGGGTGAGGGGGCTGCCTGCGGTGCCATTGACATCAATACACCACCACTCCCCCTCCTGCCCCTGAATGCAGGTGTTTTTTTTGTTGGTAGATCTCATTGAGTTCGTCATTTGAAAAGTAGATCTCCAGACGAAAAATTGTGGGCGCCCCTGCACTAGAGGGATCCCCAGCATGAGGAAGGAGGTCCTGATTCTCCTATAGCTATTTAGATATCACTAAAGGGATCCCCAGCAGGAAGAAGGGGGTCCTGATTCTCCTATATAGATCTTCAGATATCACTAGAGGGATCCCCAGCCAAAGGAAGGAGGTGCTGATTCTCCTATATAGATCTTTAGCTATCACTAGAGGGATCACCAGCAGGAGGAAGGAGGTCCCGATTCTCCTATATAGATCTTTAGCTATCACTAGAGGGATCACCAGCAGGAGGAAGGAGGTCCCGATTCTCCTATATAGATCTTTAGCTATCACTAGAGGGATCACCAGCAGGAGGAAGGAGGTCCCGATTCTCCCATATAGATCTTTAGCTATCACTTAGACCAGGGGCGCCCACTATTTTTCGTCTGGAGATCTACCAACGAAAAAACACCTGCATTCAGGGGCCGGAGGGGGCGTGGGCTGCGCAGGCAGGCCCCTCGCCCACAGTGCGATCGCCTGCATTGGTGCCTGTGTTCCAGTCCAGTGCGATCCGCAAAAATGCTGCGAGCACTATTTTTGCAGATCGCACTGGACCGGAATGCAGGCACTAATGTGCCTGCGTTCCGAGTGCAGGCGATCGCACTGTGGGCGATGCCATTGACTTCAATACAGTTCCACACCCCCTCCCGCACCTGAACACAGGGAGTCGGCCTGCTTACATTCCAGTGCATTCCAGTACATTACAGGTCCCGGCGTCCTGTCCTCCCGTGGTGCTCGTGTGGCCGACGTTGCACATGGGGTGTCCTGCACCTTTCCATCTGCAGCGTCTGACACATTCAGCCGGCAGCCGCATGAGCACCACGGGAGCATAGCCATAGCCAGCTCCTTTTTTTGCCTGAGGCAAGAAAAAAAACAACGTTTTTTAAATTTATTTTTTACTATTTGTTTATTTTATTTTCATTATTTATTTTCATTTTTTTTAATTTTCGTAATTTTTTTTTTTTTTTTACTCTTGGGGGGGCTTCGGGGAAATATTAGGGGTCTAAAAAGCCCCCTGATATTTCCCTTTTAAAATAGAAAAAGAAATTGAGGACACAAAGTCCTCAATCTTTTTTTCTGCAGCCTCTATTCTAAATGAATGGAAAGCACAGAGGCTTCCCATTCATTAAGAAAATATTTTACTATCAAGCTGTTTCTGAATGGGGAGGAGCCTCTGTACAGAGTGCTTCTCCCCATTGAGAAACTTATGAATGAACAGGAGGTGATGTAAATCACATCCTGTTCATTCATTTATAACTGGGGACACATAGTACTATGTGTCCCCAGTTATTTACAAACACTGGAGTGATCAGCCGATCGCTCCAGTGTTTGTCCTACACAGAGGATTGGTACATACTAGTGACATGTACCGATCCTCTGCCGCTCGTCCACGCACAAGGGGGCTCAGCTTCTCCTCTGGATCAACCTGCTCTCCCGGGCAGAGGCAGCGGGGGATCCGACGAGAAGTGAAAGAGCACTTCAGCCGGGGGGGGCGGAGCTGCTGTGACAGAACGGACGAGCAGTGAGGGAAGAGAGAGGCGCCGGCTGTCAGATCCTGGCCGAGCGTCTCTCTCTCTCTCCTCACCGCTCTGCATTAGTTCTGTGACAGCGGCTCCGTGCTCCACCCTCCCCCGCCGCCGGTTCCTTCACTTCTTCTCGGATCCCCGCTGGGGAGAGCAGCGGGGATCCAGAGAAGCGGCGGGAGCAGAGGACATGGCGATCTGCCAGTGATCGCTAAGCGATCGACTGGTAGATCGCGATCGACCTTGTGGGCACCCCTGACTTAGACGATTCACTTCCAGGAGAAAGGAGGTCCTGGTTCCCCTATATTAGAAGGATCACCAGCAGGACGTCCTATGGCTCAATATGTTGCTGGTAGTAGTCTTTTATCTTGTATGCTTTTTGCATTGAATAAACAGTATCACACAAGAAAAGGGCGCGGGTCTGTTTGTGTTTTGCAAGATCTTGAGTTATCACTAGAGGGATCAGCAGCAGAAAGAGGGAGGCCCCAATTCCCCATATAGATCTTTAGTTATCACTAGAGGGATCATCAGCCGAAGGAGGGAGGCCCCAATTCCCCATATCTATCTTTAGTTATCACTAGAGGGATCATCAGCAGGAGGAGGGAGGCCGCAACTCCCCATATAGATCTTTAGTTATCACTAGAGGGATCATCATCAGAAGGAGGGAGGCCCCAATTCCCCATATAGATCCTTAGTTAGATCTCATTTAGAAGACTATGCAGTTTTGGAGACTTAACCTGTGAAAATATATTGATGACAGAATGAGTCCAGAGATGAGCAACAAAATTGGTGAAAATTCTGAGGGATAAACATATCAGGAGAGACTGCAGGAACCTAATATGTACAGTCTTAAGGAAAAGGAGAATGTGATTGAAAACCTTTAAAATACAATCAGTGTGTAAATAGGGCTCAGGAGGAGATGAGTATTTTCAATATGAAGTTAAAGTGGTAAACTCTCAGAATTGGTTTTTAATAATGAATCAAAGTCAAACTACTATGGAGGGGGGGGGGGGGGGGGTGTTTTACTTTTTCCTT